ATATATATATATATATATATATATATATATATATATATATATATATTTATATATATATACATATAGATGGATAGATAGATAGATATGATATATATATAAATATATATATATATATATATATATATATATATATACTGACATATATGTAACAAGAACGAACAAGTACTCCTGAACAATACCATGTCAATACACGAAATAGAACCTTATCACACGTATATACACCAGGCTTTATGCTTTTTAAGGATTTTTCTTCATCAACAAAACACCCTCATAGTGTTAACATAAATGACTGAAGGGGAGGAGCAGACGGTCATGCACATGCGCAGAAATCACACCCTACACGCCAATACACCATAAGAACTCCCGTGAGACTGGTAATTCCTAATTCTACAATCCCATTTTTTATAAGGCAGTGTTCCCATACCAGTAATAATATACATAGATACGTGCGTGTGTTTGTATTGGCTTTCTGGTAAAAATCAGCTACAGTGGTCAATCCGGCTGTAACATACAATATATCCTACACTAATCGATAGCAAATCACAAAAACATCACAATACCAACACTCACCCGTTTCCATACACCCAGCGACTCTTTCACAGGCAGGATCCGCATGCCAGCAGTAGCATACATATACACATGCGTGTGCTTGTGATGTCTCTCAGGTATCAAATCAGCCGCAAATACTAACCCGTCCGTAATGTACTTGCGGAAACCAGCTTGCGTTGCTGCATCTGCAAGCCCTGGTTGACTGCGGAACGATGCTGGTTGTCCAGCTAAGTCCTTGACCTGCGATATGAGGGGCAGTGCATCCTGTACGGAGAAAATCGTATGTGTTTATCTATCTGTTTATATAAGGCATAAATGTAGTCTATACTAGTGTATGCGTGACCATACGAGTATGGTAACTTCAAAGACAAAAACATTTGAATTTGACTTGCATTGTTTGAGGTAGCGCATTCTGTTCGATGAGAAACACACAGTTACACACACAGTTACACACACAGAGACATACACACACACACACTTATATATATATATATATATATATATAAGAAAAAGACAACACTCGCATAATAAAACTTAACTAAAATTAATA